CTTGATTACTTTAACAAAAATGTAATTGTTTTTTGAGTTATTAACTTTCAAAATACAAAAAATACTCCCCTTCTAGCAAAATGCAACATTATCGTTCTTGAGTTTCTTCATGACCTTGTTACTTGATCTAAAGCTCAATTACTAGTACTTTTACAAGTTATTCCATGACATCCATCAAACAAACCATACACATCAATAATTGGTAACAAAATTTTTATATAATCATATGGTGGATTTATGCATATAGTTTCATGTTTGTAATAAATTGAGGTTTTCTGAAGACACAGTAATCAATATGAAGCACTTACATAGCAATATTACAAACAACCAAAAATGTCACGTGCTCATCTTTTTGCAAGTGTAATCGAAAATAATCTGCAAGATGCTTCTTGTATCTTGCTCCTTTGGTAACTTTAGTAAACGGGCCACTTTTGTATACCCGATATGTTGCCTCATGAAAGATTCGGGCTTTAACTTGGGCTTTATTTCCTTATTGAGCCTGTTGGGTTGTGTAAGGGCCCATTGCATAGCCCATATTGCTAAAGGCCGCATGTATGTCATAGATCTGTAGTGCCCATCAGTATTCCAAGCTTCTGGGGTTTGGAAAGAGTAGCTGCAAAAAAGAAACGAGTACAAGAGAGATTCAAAAGAACGATTCAACAAATAAATTCAAGAAAAAATCTGTCATTTATATATATACTAATTTAGAACTACATGATAAACCGTTCTTGCTCTTGTTGGACCACTTTTATTTTTTATTAATTTTTTTTAATCAATGTTTGGTGCCAGTTGTAGAACTACGTGTCTTATTGTGTGGTCCGCCTCCCATTGCTTCCAATTAGATACGTCCACCAAATTAGGGATGTTATTCGGGTCGGAACCGAACCGAACCGACCCGAACCCAAATAAACCGAAAACCGAATAAGGGTAATTGTATGAACCGAAAACCGAACCAAATAAGCAATACGGGTTCGGTTCGGTCCGGATATTATTCGGTTCGGTTCGGTTCAGCCCGAATAACCCAAATAACATGTACAAGATGATTAAGGAGCCGAATAACCCAAATAACATGTACAAGATGATTAAGTAGCTTATGATTTCATAACAAATCTTTTAAAGAAACAAATTAAACACTAAAAATTAAACATCCAAAAC